ACGATGATGACGATGATGATGACGACGATGACGATGGTAATGATGACGATGATGATGACGACAATGACGATGGTAATGATGACGACGATGACGACGATGATGACGATGATGGTGACGACGATGACGATGGTAATGATGACGACGATGACGATGATGATGACGACGATGACGATGGTAATGATGATGATGACGATGGTAAAGATGACGATGATGATGATGACGATGATGATGACGACGATGACGATGATGATGACGACGATGACGATGGTAATGATGATGATGACGATGGTAATGATGACGATGATGATGACGATGATGACGACGACGACAGCAATGGAGATCATGACGATGAGGACAACAACAACAACAACGGAGATGGTGATAACAATGATGAAAACGACGGTAGAGATAGAGGTTCGACTTGTGTCGAGTGCCATAACAAATACTCCGTGTACGAAAACGCATTTTGTACGGAGACTTGGTTAATGGTTATTAATATTGTGATTAATGATGAATGACATACAACATAAGCACGTGCCTGCGCCGCCTCGTGCTGCCCTCTAGGTACGTTCTACAGCATGGCGTGTGTCGGAGACTTCATCGTGGATCTGCTGCTCGGCTGTCCGAACGACGACGTGCGCGACCAGGCTCGCAAGCAGTTCCTGCAGCTGTCGCGCACCGTGTGCCCGCCGCTAGAGGGCGCCGCTGGCCAGACGAGTCCGCACCACTTCATCCTGCACGTGCTGCTGAAGGCGCACCTGCCGCTGTGGGTGTCGTCCGGCACCACCCGCGGGTCCAGTCAGAGGTGAGAGGTCACGGTCGCAGGGGTCAGGGGGTCGGATCTAGGGGTCAGGGGGTCGGATCTAGGGGTCAGGAATCAGATCTAGCTTCAAGGGGGATGGATCTAGGGGTCAGGGAGTTGAGTCTGCAAGAAGTCAGATCTGGTGACAGAAGTAAACATTTAGGGTCAGGGATTGAGTATAAGGGAAAGGGTTGAGTCTAGATTCAAGGGTTGGGTCTAAAATAAAGAAGTCAAGTCAAAGGCGGGGGTTTGAATCTAGGGTGAGAAATGACATTTAAGGATTATGAAAACCAACAAATATAGATTTTTGTTTGATATTAATTATTTGAAATCAGTTACCCTAGTTAAATCTTTTCGTGTGGACAGTAGACATTCTATGTTGTAGGAACAGATATCTAGCTTTCTGGGCGCAGCCTCCATATTTTCCATATATTCTCTCATGACGGCTTGTAAATTCTCTATAATAATTCCTGAGCATAGTGAGCATAGAGAATAGTGAGTGACATAATTAACGATGTTAACAATGAACTGCTAGCGTTGACTCGTTATGGTGGTCTAGTGTCATCGTGTCTTGATTCAGATTGCTGGCACAGTGCACGCAGTACTTTGAGCTACGAGCGAAACTGCTGGAAAATCTCACACGTACGTATATGTCCAGAGGTGTAATCACGTTTGTGTGTGTGTGCGTATGTGCGTGCGCGTGTGTGTGTGCATTTACGTGCGTGCGTGTGTGTGTGTGTGCACATGTGTGTGTGTATTTACATGACTTTATGTATCCACCTGTGTTTTGGCAGTGACGCTTTTTCGTATGTATTTACCTGTATATACCTGTATTTATGTATTTATCTGTGTTTACCTGTGTCGTGTGACAGTGTCCGAGCAGCAGGACCTGCAGGTGACCGTTTCCGCGATGCTCACGGACGAACTCGAGTGGCTCAACAACTTCTCAACGTCAGAGAAGCCGTCTCTGGTTGCCGGGGACAACGCGCTGCTGGCGGGACACTTCCGTCTCATCCGCTCGCTGCTCATGTGCGAGGGCATCCACAAACAACACGTCGGTGCGTGCTCGTTTACAGCTCAGCCTGTCTCTCTCTCAGTCTCTCTCTCTCTCTCTCTCAGCCTCTCTCTCTCTCTCTCTCAGCCTCTCTC